GTTCACAGGGATGCCTGAAGTTCGAACATCCTCTGAAATGGATTCAGTGATCGAGACTTCGGGTGGTATGACTTTAGTCTGCTCAGGGATGGAAGGATTTGAAGAATCACCCAAATTAGTAGATGTGTCCACATTAGATGCTTTCACAGAGCCACTAAGACTTCCAGTCTTCTCGGAATTTGACTTGACTGGAGAGTCCCTTTGAGTTTAATTGAAGACAATGTTATCATTTCGAATCGAAGACTGATCAATATCATATTCGAATTCTATTTCTACCACAACCTCATCAAGAGGATCTTGCAACTTCTTTTGCTTCTTCTTGAGTTTCTTTATCATGGCATGAGCTCTTCGTTTCTTTGAAGTCAAATAAACTGGAGCAGGAATTTTACGAATGACCACACCCTTTCAACTTAGCTGTGGTTTGCGAATCCTCTTTGATTTCGAAATAGAAACTTCCTTAGTTGGCGAAATAGGCTTCTCAGAAACGTCTTCGATAATAGACCTCCGTTCTGGTGAATGTCGAGGTCTATGTGTTGGCTTCTTCGTTCGCTTGAGAACACCTGTTTTTGAGGGCACTATTTCTTTTGGAACATCCTGAACAACAGGTTCTTTGATAGGCTTCGTGAACTCCTTCTCTACTTCCTCAGGTACATATTTAAGTTTTTCAACCTTTGTGGGTTTCTTGGAACTTTTCCCACGTTTCGAAGTTCCTTTAGTTCCCTTCAGAAGCAAAACCCCTATTGCATTATCAATGTTTATGGTGGAAAGGTAGGTAACAAGAACAGGGTTTGTCGGATCCACCTTGCGAAGCATAGCATCCGGAATTCGTGCAACTAAAGGAAATATTGTCAAGTCATCTTCAACAGTCTTTGGGTGTTGATAGATGGTAAATTCTGCTTTTGGAACATCTGAGGGAACAAAAATCCCTTCCTTCTCATATAGATCTTGAAGAATGAGACTCCAGTACCTAGCACATGAGACTCGATTGACAACATGTGTATGAGAGATACCAGTGCCAAACTCCTCCCATAGCTCTGAAACATAGTCCACATTCAAATCATAGTATAACCCAACAATTAGGGCATAGATTTCCAATTTGGCCTTATCAAGCCCAACACTTCTACCTGTTAGGCATCGAAGAAAAATCCCAAAAAGAAAGTTCCAAATACAAGGCCGAGAGGACTTCTTGAACTGACTTATGCCGGTAAGTGGAGGTTGATGACTCATCTCGTTGAACATGTGGAACACCTGATCATTGGTTACTTTATAAAACGATCCATTAGTGGGAAGTTTCATGATTTGGGCAACCTGATCATTGGTTACTTCATAAAAAAGACTTTTTACTTTGCCAATACACCTTGTTTTGAGCTTTCGACATTGAAATTCCTTCTTCTTTTGAAATCTTTTGAATTTGTTTATAGAAAATTTGAGTTTTTGAGTTTTGATTTTAAGAAACTGGTTCATTTGATGGTTCAACAACATTTGCTTTTTCTTTCTTCACTTCCCAATTTCGTTTTGGTTTTTGCCTTTGAAAAGTTGATGAGTTCTTGATAAGAGTATTTTCAACCTTGCTTTGGTTTGAGAAAAAATCTTCTTTCGAAGCTCCTTTGTTATCTTCAACAAAAATTGTGTTGTTATCAGGATTTACTTTGTCTCCATTGCATGTGGTGACAAACACCTGATTGGGAAACACCACATCATCAGTGCATTTGAAATTTGGATAAACAACTGAGTTCGATTCGAGATAATGAGGACCTTTTTTCTTTCATCACTTTATCAAATTTCTCTGTTTCCTCATAAACTTGGTCGACAACAACCCTGGGAATCGTTGTTTCGATTTGAATGTCTTCTTCATCATTGTCACTATCAGTTTGACTATCTTTGACAATCACACAGGCATAGTCATGAACTTTCGAAGTTGAGGGTTGATCGGTGTTAACCTTTTCCATTGAATCATTAAAAAAAATTTACCCTTAGTCATCAAAGTGACATTAATGACAGATAACTGAGACCAGTCAACAACTTCTTCCGCCTCAATTTCACTGATATTGTCAAAATCATCTTTGATATCAGCAAAATTATGTTGAGAGTTAGATGTCGAATTCTCAGTCTTTTTCAAAATCTTTATTTGTACAGTTTTGGTTTAGGTCTCATTCACAATATGAACCAAATCATTAGCATCCAAAAATTCATCTATTTTGACAATATCATATGCATATGAATCATTTGGGGCCTTGTCAAATTCAAAAATCTTCTTCTCACAATCATAGGATGTTGAATCTATTTTCTCTCTTTCGAAAGTCAAAAAGGGTAAAAGTTTCCTATGTTGTTCCTTACTTATGTCAGAGGAATGATGTAAATCAGTCAATTTAGCATACAATCTTTTAGCCGAATTACAGTAAATGTTACGTTGTTTTAACAAAATACAATTATCCAATCTCTATATTATCTCTATCACAAGTAACATTATTTAGCTGCAATTTTAGATTGTCTATTCTACTTCTCTTCGAGTCCAACCTTTTTGTGTTTCTAGCAATAATGTTTTTGATTTCTCAGCATCACCACTAATAGAAATAAGCATGTCATTAACGTAAGATAGGTATCATCGAAGTCAGATAAAATAGCATCATATGAACTGAAAGGGATATCAAAGGATTCAAGAAGAGAACGTACCTTCAAAGTCATTGGATACTTGTCTGCTCCCGTTGATACAAAGCACTTCCCGGTCACATTCCCGTCATCCTGACTGTCCTCCTCATACCTTGCATACATCGCTCCATGTGTGGGGTTCCTCATCTATTCGTTATCTGATCTAGATGACAAGATTTGATAAGTGTCATCCCCATCACCACTTCCTTTTGCAACTAGCGACATTCCCTTCGTCCTAGCTCTTACTTCCTCCAGCCTTTCGACATAATAGGCTTCATCCTTCACTCTTTCCTTTTTCTCCTCTCTTTTCCTTAACATGCAGTCGATTGCCATATGGTTTGCACCATTGCAGTAGTGGCAATCAAAACCAGAATCTCCTTTTAACTTTTTCTCAATCTTTTCACCAGTAACCTTACTTTCTTTTTTTTTCAACCTTCGAATCTTCTTTAACATTCTTCCCAGATGAGTTTCCCTTGAAATCACTTCCTTTGAACTTCGGATTGAATGGCTTTTGAAAAACTTCTTGACTTTGTTATTTGAGTAATACGTCACAGCTTCGTCATCCGAGTTCAAGACAAAACCTTCATCATCAGGACTATCAACATCTACAGATTCGACTTCTGTCTCTTTTCCAAACACTTTCGAAACCAATGCCAGAGGACCACCCAAACTTAGTTTTCCTTCTTCAGCAATTTCGTTAATCTCGCTTTCATGGGCTTTCAGAACATTATCAAGATCACCTAGAGAATAGTTGTCGAAGCTTTGTTGTGTCTTGATCATTAAACTAATGTCCCTCCACTCCTTTCGAATTCCCATCAAGAAAGTAAGATTATACTCAAGAATCGAACAATTAACCCCATATCGACTGCACTTGAAGATTAACGCATTCAGACGATCATAGTACAGCTCAATGGTCTCATTTTCCTTTTGTTTGAGTTCTCCTAATTCAAGCAGACATTGCTTAACATAACTTTTTCTTCTCTTCTCACTTCCCTGATACTTCTCTTTCAAAGTATCACAGATCTCCTTTGATGTTTTGCAACCACGGACATAATTGTAAACCACCGGTGGAAGAGCACCGCGAAGTTCACGCAATCATTTCTTATCATTTTCTTTTTGTTTATCTGCTTGAAGTGAAACATCTGTAGATGAACCAACAGTTCCAATCTGTTCTAACCTCCCAGGACGATAGTTACCACTCGTTATGCAACGCCACAAATTTCCGTCTATTCCATTGAGATAATCTTCCATTCTGTCCGCCCATTGCTCATAGTATTCAGGAATCAACATCGGAATTTTGGTTGAAGAACCAAGAAGATGAGAGAAACCAGTCATCGTGTTCATGTTGAAGTTAGCCATTGATGTATGGACAAAGATTATGAAAAGCTTCAGAAAGAAAAATCTAATGAACAAATCTTCCAGAAAACAAACAGCAAGCACTCGATTTATCAGACGGAACGCATAATCGAATCAAAACAGTTGATCAATAAAGATTTTCTAGATCATAAGTGCGGAATATTTTTGAATCTGATATAAGATTCAAAAACTTTTGAAAACACGATAAAATCATAAATCAACTGAGAGAATCATGCTCTGATACCCAATGTAGGTCGTATGAATCAAGTGAATGAAATGAAATCAAAGTATGAATCAATCAAGAACACAAGTTGTAAATAGAATCTGTTTGTTTCAAGTAATACTTCTGAAAGATACAAGAGTAAATGAGAGTAAAGTACACTTCATGACAAAAGTTACTCTAACCCTTATACGTATCTCTATTTATAGGAACATCAGAAGTAAACAAAATGTACATAAGGGTTAATACAAATACGCTTCGACATCAAAGCTGCCCTTATGAAATACATATAATGAAAACATCAATACAAACTTCGACACAAGACATGACCTAAGACACTTCGACATCTCACAATATATTTCAAACCCTACAAATAAATATTATACTTTCTTTTTAATGAAGTTAACATTTAAATTGGACAACTATATACAATGTATGATTTTTTTTCTTATTTAATATGGACATATTCACTTATTGAGTTACACCATAAAACATGACAGAATTAATAAATATTTTTAAATTAACGATGATTTAAAAATATAACAGTAAAATGATCATTTAGCCCATTCAAACTGTCTATTCAATCTAACAAAAAAACAATTCAAACATACATTTTATCCCAACAAACATCATTACCAATCCAGTTACTTTATCCGTAATGAACTCAAACAAATACAAAAACAAAAACAAAAAAAAAACCATCATGTTCTATAATCTTTTCCAATTTCAACATCATAAATTAAAAAAAAAAAAAAAAAAAGGTTTTACAAAACGAATCCAGTGGGTAAAATCCAAAGTTTTGGTAGGTACTGATATGTTGTGATCTCATCTTAACTTAGATTTTTTTGAGCTTTTAAGGGGTTTAGCTAAAGGACGAGGAGCAGGTTTTGCAATGGCTTTTTGGAAGTTATATTTAACAGAAGAAAAGGCACAAAGCACTGCAATTAGCATTGTTGGGTAAACATATACGGATCTTGTGGGGTCCGTATTTACCGGTTGTTTTCCAAGTAAACCTTCTTTCACAAGTCCCCATACAATTAAAAGTGTCCCAAACATGCTCATTCTTTGAGGCTTTAGTAAACCGATAAATGCTCCTGCCACTGAGAAGTAGCTTCCTGCAAGAACCTGAGAACAAGTCCCAATTTTTTATTTTTATTTTTTAAATAAATGCATCAAATAGCAGCCTACTTTCATTTATTACAAGTATTGAAGAAGGGAAGAGATAGAAACCTCTAGGCGTTGTAGATCAGGTATTGCTGAGACTACTTTTATATCAGTCAAATTGTAAATGTGAAGAACATTATTCCAGCTTGGAAAACTCATGTTGTATATTAAATCATTAAAAATAGCCCCTGGGTAAAGAAGACCTTTAACTGCAGCTGATGGAAAGATGTCACTTGCAATTAGCTGGCTAGATGTGATCTGGATAGGTGATGTACACATACCCGATCTACATGGTATCCTGATTTACAAAAATTATTAATATTTTAATATTACAAACAAAGGAATATATTAATGAAACAAAAACTTTAAACATTGTATCTATATGTCTTCTCTAAACTCTGAACCTAGGGCTAAAGATGATGATAGCTTGAAAGCTTAATGCAAATCTTTGTTAGTATCATATTTGGAAAGCTGTAATGCTGTTAAAAAATGTATCCTTCTCCAAAAAAAATGTCTATATTATATAACAAAGAAGTGTGAAAGTTGACTAGCGAATGAGTTTTACTTTTGGGTTTCTAAAGTCGATCCAGCAAGAGAAATATGAGAAAATTCTTGATTATGCAGTTCAATCATCTAAAGATCTGTTCTAAGAAAGTTTATGCAGTTCAATTCGTTCTTAAATAAAGTATGTATGATAGCCCCAATTCGACTCAATCTTGGACATACCTACTAACACTTTTATTCGATAGCCTCATTTCTACTCAAAAAGTGAACTCCTCAAATTTGGAAGTCAACAGGTAGATTTTCACCTTCAAATTTTGTACGAATACTAAACTCTTTAAGGGATAAAAACGAGCACGATTTAAGTATGAAAAATAAGAAATTGAGCTAATATTTAGAAACAGGTTACATTAATGACTAATTTAAGATATTCATCAGAGAAATCAAGTGAACAAGGCAGATATTCATCAGAGAAGGGGATCCAGTAACCACTAGCGCAATCAATATACCGACAATACAAAGATTGAGTAAAACTACAAGTGATATCGAGTTCAATAAATCATGAACCACACACAAACATTAAAGATATGAATCAAATTGTATACAAATTAAATTATTAATAATACCTAAAAAACGGAATTTGGAGGATGATGAGGAAAAAGTAAACGCGAGCTGCATATATCGGAAGATTCGACAGCTTCGCCATTGTTAGAGTGAGAGTGAGAGAGAGAAAGGAGATCGCAACTACAAATCCGACTTCTAGAAGACTGAATGAGGCCTGCAATCATACAGTGTATTATATTAGCATTTAGCCCCCAAACTTTTTAATTGCTCATTACAGCAACTTGACTTATAAAATTTTGCAAAGATTTATCCATAAAGATTAATTACATTTACACATTTATGTCTAGGGTGCACAATGGGGCCGTGCCTTCTGGGCTCGTGCGATATCAACAGGCCCATCAGGCAGTTTTTTTTTTTTAAAGTGTATCAAAAATGAATTTAGTTTATTGCAATTTAGCATTTTGGTAAAATCCTAAAAGTAAATTATTGATAAGGTAATTTGAAATAACTTATTAGTTAACAAAGTTAGTCTAAGATAAGATAAGTTATTGATAAGCTAGTTTCTAAGCTAAATAAAAGTTAGTTTCCGAAAAATATATTTAAAGGGATGTGTGTGCACCTCAATCGGGCTATACATTGGGTTTTTGCAGACCTCACCAAGTCGCGTCATTAGATTTCGATATTTTATTTTAAATATCTTTTTTAACATCAAACAAATAAAAAAATTTCAATACGCGATAAAACTTAAAATATGCTTATATTTCATTGTTGGAAAGTATTGTTACATATGATTAGTACATAAAAATACACTACTAATCAATTTCTATGAAATATTCTTCCGGAAGGTGAATTTTGTTTTTTCCCCTTTAACTCATGTTGTCATCCATTCATATCCTTCACAACATGTATTAAATCTTCGTGTTTACATTCAACCTTATATTCGGTATCTTTGATCTACAATTCAGTGCCTTTGATATTTCTTTTTTTGTCTCCATTTTTTTTTCTTTAATTTATTCTAGAATATACTATCTTTCTACCATAAACTGAGTGAGAGATGTAACACTTGTTTCTTGGATTGGATCGGTTTAAGGCTTTATGGAGTCAAAAACTTGGTTTTTGGGGAAAACCGAGTGTCACGACATGACCATAGGGTCGTCACGACGTGACAAGCTGAGTTGAGGATTACGCGCATTGGAAGAATGGTCACGACGTGACGTTTAGTTGGTCACGACGTGAAAATAGTTGCAGCCCAAGCTCATGATCTTTTAGGGTTTGCTTCGTATTTAAGCATCCTAAACTCGAATTTAGGGTCTATTTCTCAGCCTCCATCTCTCTTAAACCCCAGAAACCCAAACCCTAGTTCATCTTGGTGGTTTTGGCTTATTTTTAGTGGTTTTGTAACGTTCATAAAATTCTCAATAAAATTCTCAAAAATTTTAAACTTTTAAAATTTACTCAAAAGTCATCATTGTTTACAAATTGTTTTCAAAATAAGTTCAACATCAGAGAATTCCCAAAATCGTGAAATAAAACGTGAGGGCCTTCGTCTTCCCGCGATCCTCTGAAGTACCTGAAACATAATCCAAAATTGTAAGCTCAAAGCTTAGTGAGTTCCCCCAAAATACCAATACATATCAAGTAGCACAAAAATAATAACAACATGCAATGGGTCCACAGCTAACAGACTCGATTACCCTTGAGCCCATAGCATAAGTCTGGCTTCCCCCCAGGGCCCAGAGCTTATGTCTGGCTTGCTCCCCGGCCCTCTGTACGAGTCTAGGCCTGTTGAAAATACCCAATACCCAATCCGACCCGTTTTGAATTCGGGTAGATTGGGTCGGGTAAATCGGGTCGGGTAAATCGGGTTTCGGGTTTGAAAATTCGGGTAATCGGGTAACCCGATATTTAAATAGGTCGGGTATTTGGTAGGTTTAAAAAAATTCGGGTATACCCGAATACCCAATTTTTTTTAAAAAAAACTAATAAATACACTAGTTATAATAACTATTAAAGTTGTATCATTATTTTACATAATTATTGTTCCTTATAGTTTAAACCAAATGTTAGATGACTTCATTATTTGAACGGTATATAGTAAATACAAAAGAAATTGTTGAAAATTAAATGAAGTTTTGAACAAAATGTTACAACAAATATAATGAAAATGAATGAGATGTTAGATTCCCCTTCATTTTCTTTGTGCTCTACCAATCTGTTTCTTTTTTTTCAACTATACACATGTTTCTTTTTTGTCATTTCTTCTTTGTGAATTGAAATATAGCTATATAATTGGTACCTGCAATTTAGATAACATGCTAAATTTTTTTATTTATAACTTTTATGTACTCATCTTTTGCATTAAATCATGTAACATGTTTGGTTAATCCAAATTTAATCAAACACAGATCATGTACTCCATAAACTGTTTTTTCTTTTATCAAAATTTGAAATGTAATGCAAAAATCACATAACATATTATAATGACTTGTATTGTTATCGTATATGTACTTGTTAATTGTATGGAATATTTTGTTACCCAATTTTTTATTAAAGCAACCGAAATGCAAAAAAGCATTAAAAAAATCAATAAGTGACACTTAAGTAATTTTCGGGTATACCCAAAAATACCCGAACTGACCTAAAACCCGAATACCCGAAACCCAAGAACCTGAATTACAATATAGGTCGGGCATCGGGTATTATTACTTTAAGGAAATACCCGAACTACCCGACTCGTTCTACCCGAAACCCGAAAATTTTACCCGATCAACACCCCTAATCTGGTATGCTCCAGGGTTTGTTGGCCACAGCACGGAGCAGTACAACCTCAACCCAACCCACACCATATGTCGACATATAACATATAATATCATATTCAGATAACAGGCAATATCACAGGTAGTCCTACAGATCTACCAAACTAGCATATCAAAACTAGCATGCATATCTACTTCATACTCAGCATACAATATCAGGTTATCAAACCAATGGGTCGGCCTTGGTGCCGTCGACCCGAAAGTATAGTGAGGAAGACTCACCTCTAAAGTAGTGCAGAATTGATAAGGTCTGACTCCAAATCTCATCTCCTGACTCAAATGCCTACAACCACCATGTGACCAATTCCATCAAAATCCTGAAATACCCAAAATACCCTCAAAAGTCAAACTTGGTCAACCATGGTGAAAGTCAAAGTCGACGGTCAAGGTCAACAGTCCATGTTGACCCAACTCGTCGAGTGCACCAATAAACACGTCGTGTTTCTATAGTAATCAGATGGTCGGGAAAATCCCAGCCAACACGCCGTGTTGGCTTGCAAACACATCATGTTTGCCCGAGCGTAACACATTCACCTGTTCCTACGATTCCAGGGACTCCAAGACTTAGTTCTAAACTCAAACTCTATCAAAAAGGATAAAGTTTCCAACTTTATCCTTTGGGGCTACTCCAAGTGCTCAAAAACCCATCCACAAGGCTTGAAGATTCAAGGGCTTAATCAATAAGCACAAAAATCCTTGAGATCTGAAACCCAACCTTTCCAGAAGAGATTCTAGCATCAAAATCAACCCAAATGTTGGTGCTTTATAGACATGCATGTCCAATGCATGTCTTGAAGCCAAAATGGATCAAAAGGGGGAAATATTACCTAAATTGCATGCATGGCATCAAAACTTGGCTAAAGACCAGATCCAAACCACTATAAGGTCGCCTTGACCTGAAGATTCATAAAGTTGCAAACTTTATGGGATCCATCCATTGCAACATCCAAGAATAAGGAGAAAAAGGGACAAAACTCAATAACTAGCTACATAGAGTATTTAAAATCAGATCTTGGACACTTACAAAGGTCCAGAAGAGTGTCAAACTGAAGATGAGAGTTTTGTTTGCTAGATCCTTGCTTCCTTCTTCCCACTTTCTTCTTATTTTGCTCCAAAATACAACACTAGTTCACAAATGAGAGGGAAGGATGATTAGGGTTCACAAGGGCCGATATGGGGGTTTGGAAGCTGATAAAAGATCAGCCCTAGGGTACAAAACCCTAAAATTTAGGGTTTCTCGTCCAGCCGCCAACACGCCGAGTTTCCCCTCACCAACACACCATGTTGGTCCATAAAAATATGCGACCCAAAGTCCTTCGACACACAATGTTGAGGCCTCCACCACGTCGTGTTTCAATGGAAAAACACACTTAAAAGAATAATTCTCATACCTGGAAGTCGGGATGTTACAGCTTTCCTCCACTCGGGACTAGGCTTCATCCTCAAAGCCTGTTCCGGTGAAAAATCCAGATAATGCTCCCGCATCTCAGCCTCCAGTTCCCAGGGCCACTCAGAGTCCCTCTGGTGTTGCCACCGTACCTTTACCAAAGGTACTTCCTTGCTACGTAAAAACCTTTACCTTCTTTTCCATAATAGCTATCGGCCTCTCGACATGGTTCAGGCGCTCATCAACCTGAATATCATCCAATGATACCACTACATCCTCGTCTAATACGCACTTCCGTACCTGCGAAACATGGAAAGTGCTATGAATCTGACTAAGCTCCTCAGGAAGATCTGATCTATAAGCAACTTTTCCAACCCTGTAAATAACCCGGAATGGCCCAATATATCGGGGACCCAACTTTCCCCTCTTCCTGAAGCGAATCACACCTTTCCAAGGTGAGACCTTCAGCAACACCATGTCGCCGACCTGAAACTCCAACTCAGATCGGCGTCGGTCGGCATAGCTCTTCTGCCGACTCTGAGAAGTCTACAATCTCTACCTGATCTGCTGGATCATCTCTGTAGTCCAAAGGACCACCTCAGTCTGCCCTATAACCTTGTGACCAACCTCTCCCTAGCAAACCGAGGTACGAAATCTCTGCCCATACAAGAGCTCAAAAGGCAGAGCACCAATGTTGGAGTGGAAGTTGTTGTTATAGGAGAAATATGCAAGAGGTAGGTACGAGTCCCAGTTCCCACCAAAATCAATGACATAGGCTGGCAACATATCCTCAAGAGTCTGTATCGTCCTCTCACTCTGGTCGTTGGTCTGTAGATGATAAGTTGTATTGAAATGCAGCCTCGTACCCAGTTCCTCATGGAACTTCTGCCAAAATTGGGAGGTGAACCGAACATCACATTCTGAAACAATGGAGACCAGAACCCCATGGAGAGCAAAGATATCGCGAATATACACATCAGCCAACTTCTCGGCCGAAGAACTCTCCCGAATCACCAGGAAATGGGCACTCTTGGTCAACCGATCCACGATGACCCAAATAGCATCAAAACCCTTT